GTATGTATGTATGTATGTATGTACGTATGTATGTATGTATGTATGTGTATGCACGTTTTCAGGCCAGAAGCTAGATGGGTGGAGCCTAGGGCAAGATCAACGGAGCATATATCAGGCTTGCGGAGCCCAGCCCGCAAGGGGCGGGCCAAGTGGCAGTGTCTTATTCCGTATTCAAAGAAGCCAAGACAAAATAAAATTTAGCAAAAATAGATCAAAGTAAGAAATGGGTCAACAAATCAGGTGAAGGAGCCCCACCTGCTTTGTGTGGAGCGTGCTCAAAGTGGGGGTACTTTACATATAAGTTCATAAATTCGCCCCAACGAAGCCTGAATTTCAGAAAAGAGAGTGAAAGGGTGGGCATGGCATTCTGCGTTCTGGGCAGGCCTTAACCTAGCTCCGAGTGCGATGGTCGGGACAGATAGTCAAATGGAAGGTAGTTTTTGAAAAGATGTATAACCCTGTTCGAAAGAGTTATAGATTTACAACTAAACCGCAAAGTTCGTGTTTCTGTTGGTCTGTTTGTCTCTTGATAGTGTTTATCACCACCTTATATGAGCCTGCCAGAAACTGAAGTGAAACCGGTTACTCATGTCGAAACATGTGGGGAACGAGTAAGGCTACTTAGGAACACATTATCTGAGCTAGGCTTCACCCACAGAGGGTTTGGCGTGCGATTAGAGTGATTTCAACGGAAGTATATAATATCTATCATGTACCTAAAACATTAAACGTAGGTGGGAATACAGGCGGCAGGATGGGAACCTTGAGGGTATGTAGCAGGGCAAGATTCCACGCAGCGGGGGCGCAACATGCGCAAAAATCGCTTCTCTGGAGTTAGAGCGTTTAAATTCAGAAGGGATACGGGTGGCATTAATGGACGGCAGGGATAGTGAAGTGGCCGAAGTAGGCAATTCTGTTCGAACGCATTCCAGATTATGCACCGCCAATTCTCAGCTTTACTCCCTTCAGACTTGGACCATTCACGTATGGTAGGATTCATGCTGCGGAGATGTTCGCCGATATACCGCCCTGCTATACCTATCCGTTGTGTGATTGACTGACCAGTGGCCACTTTGTTCCCTCGAGCGGGGCAGTGCTCCAGCTCCAAGGAAGTTGAACAGATTTTCAGGGAGTAGCTGTAAACGCAGCGATCCATAAATGCAACCAATTTTGACCAGCTCTGATTTGCACTACTCGATACGACGCAGTTACTTACTATTCATTTTTCTCGAGAAGAGAGAGAAATTAATGATGATCGGCCTTTATGTGTGACGGTGTTTATACCAGTCTACCTTTGACTGGGAACTTATAACTGCTGTTCCCGTGGAAGTAGAGCATTCAAGTTCGATAGGATTACAATCGGTAGGGTGGAAAAATTAAGGGCTGGTGGCAAGACTAGGCTCTCTCTGAAGGAGGCGGGGCGTGCGCAAAAATTGTCTGTTTCGACTTAGATCGTACAGATTCGATAGGTGTACAGGCGGCAGAACGGGAACGCTGATGGCAGGTGACACGATTGAAGATTAAAGAAGAGGTGAATGAACAAAGTAACTCAAACACATAAGTTGCGCAAGTATTGTCTACCGCGGTTAACGGCCGAACACAATGGGCGAACACTAAGCACAATAAGTGTTTATTGGCAAATGCACAAAAAACACAATGTTACGAATAGTAACAAACGATACACAAAGAAAACAATCGATACCGCAACGGCGAACAAGCGAGAACCTAGGAAATAAAAAGAAGGGTGTGCGGGGCGCGGAGGACCCCTTTCTAGTGAATCCGTCACTTAAGTGCTCGTATCTGGTGTATCGGATTTTATAGGTTGCTTTCCCGCCTAAACGTTATTCGCGCCAACCACAATTGACGCCGATCAAGATCACGCGCTACACATGTTCTACCTCACGATTATCAAGAACTCAGGGGTTCAGGGGTTCTTCCCGCCTCAACACGCCCCCTCCTCTGAAGGTCTGTCCTGAGATCTTATATTGAGGTGGCATAATCCCCTAGCGACCTGCCTTTGTCCTCCCTTCCTTGACGCTTTTCCACTCCTTTCAGATGCCTTGTGGAAATCCTTCCGTCCATGATGGGCGGTCCTCCCTTTTTATCAACCGCATGCACTGGTGCTCCAGGCTTCATTGACTTGGGCACTTTGAGCGACTCCAACTGAACATCGTATTCCATCAGTTGCCTCGTGAGGTGATTGGAAAACTCCATTGCCCGTGGTACTTCCCACCATTTCCTTGGATCTTCCACTACTCCTGCACGGAGACAGGCCAACATGAAGAACGAATCTTTACGTTCTGATATTCTTCCACAGGCTGACTCTCGCACGCTGTCTCTCTTCCCTTTATCTTTAGGCTTTTTGCCTCTCCTCCGCCTAGTGAAACTTTTTAGTGGTTCATCTCCAATTTCATCTGGGCACTTGATGAAAAGATCGAGCTGCACCCTCATCAGGTCTTCGTTTACGCCTATCTTTGTAACTAGCGCTGAGTTCTCACTCGTTTCAATCACGCGGTACGGTCCATCCCACTCACGCGCTAATTTGGAGTGTTTTGCATGGTTCCGTTCTCGCGGCATCTCCATGGAACTCTTTCGCCTACTTTTGAGCCAGCTCGGAATTTTAGCGGCTCCTGTGCACCGTTCCGGACAGGTGCACATGATACTCCCCTGTCATCGACCTTGCAGAGGTCTGATCCTAGGTATGCCGAACTCGAGTGGAATACCCTCTCATCTGGGCTCACTCTTCCCTTGATAGATATCTTTTTCATTTCTCCCGGCGCCACGTACGCTCTCTTGGCCACAACAACACTACTCTGTCCTTTTCCGGGACCAGATGTCTGGTGCTTCCTCGTATTCAGTGCGAGCTCTTCCGCAGTGTTACTTGCTCCCTTTATCCTGTCATTTGCCATAGCATTCTCCACCACATGCCTACGCCTAACCAGATTGTGCCCCAGCGACGGGAGCGCATTGGTCACCAAGATCACTGTCTGCCCCTTCTGCTATGATACGTGCATTGCAATGGTCGTTTGTTCACCATTATATTCTTTGACTGGGATCTCCACCACCATCTCGAATTTCATTCGGTTGCCCGACAATCGGAAATCCTTTTTCCGGAGTCGACTGGCAACTCCTGACATATATGGCCGCTGGCTTTGACGAGATTATAGACCGCCATAGGCATGATGGATATCTCCGAACCGGTATCCAACAATGCTCTTTATATCCTTCCACCCACTTCAGCTTTGTTGTGTACTTTTTCCCAAATGAAAGTCTCCGATTGGTGTGGGCGCGACTTCCCCTTGGTTTCCTCATTTCCTTGGAGTTGTACGACGCCTGTCGCTTTACTCCCCGCGTGTCTCAGTCCAGCTGTGCAATTCCTAGCGAAGTGTCCTATGCCCTGGCATTTGTAGCACCTCGTCTTTATTCCTTTCTGCTTTTCTTGACGGCCTTTTTCCACAGCCTTTGTGTGGCTTCACCGTGCGTGCTAGGACGCCTGCTCTTCTCACAACCTAACTGGAAGTCCTGGGTGCCATGCTAGTCGACGGACGTGACGGTGTTTCGCTCATACTCATCGACTTCGTATTTGCCAAAGTCAGGTTACGCCGCTCAATTCTCATGGCGGTATCCTTGACGCTCGTATACGGATCTGCCCCCGGCATCTCCATAGCCACCAGTAGATGATAAGATTCAGGCCAATGTACCAGTTGCACGTACAACTGATGGTGATCACTGTCATCAGAGCAGTCTCATCTAGCTCTGGGTATGCCATGGCTGATAGCCGTTCCATTAGTACGCAATACTCTGCCACCGATTGCTCTTCGGCATTCTACAGCCTTCTCAACTTCCCTAATGCGACTACTCTGCTGGTATGTGCATCAACCCTGTACGTCTCGGCTGAGGCTGCTACTAAACCCTCGAAGGACCCTTGCCTAATCCTGTGGGGCAATGCCTCATATCGCGTTTCAGCCTCACCACCTAGCTTCGACTTCAAAAGAATTTTTAGCTCTCCGCTAGACCAGCTTTGTGTTGGATATTTCAAGGAAAAAGACTCAATAAACTTATCCCACGAATAATCTTTATCTTTTCCCGAAAACAATCTGACAACTGGGAGCGCCACATATCTCAAATAGGCACCGAACTGATTTTCTGCGAGTGAGATGGACCCTTGAAATACTGCCTCGACTCATCCTCTCACTACCGCAACTATCAATCTCGCTCAAGTCTTCCAAACTAGACATCGATAATAACTCACCGGGCTTCATCTGCGTCCTCCCTGAGGATTGCCTGGATCCGCTCGACACCGAGTTGCTCAACTCTTGCGGCTTTTTTCACCCAGTCTGCAAAGTAGGATTACATGAGTTCATCTCGTGCTTCAACTTCTTCAATGCTTCAATATCAATTTTCGATGCCTTCTTAGCGGTCCTACCTGGCACCGTAGTCCCTACGCCGCTTCTCATAGACTCCTCCTCACGCGATTTGAGCGAGCAGTTCTTCACGTGTACTAGCTCGCGCTGCAATGACAACACTTCTTTCTCCTTCTCCACTAATTTCACCATCCTCTTTTTCAACTCCTTACAATTCACCACAATCTCTTCTTGCTCCCATCCTGTATACTTCCCAATCTTATCGATTATAGCTGCATTCATCGCTAGCTCTTCCACGGCTTCTACTATTTCCACCTGCTTGGAACAATTCAAAGCCGCCATCAATTCCTCCGCAACATTTCTCTCATTTCCCTCGCACGCTTGCTTCAGCTGTGTCAATTGCTGCTCTAACTCAGCTACATCCATTCGCAGCACTCGCTCACAGTTTTCCCGTCTCGCATCTCCCGTGCGCCAGTACTTTGCCATTTCTGCCCCGACCAGCACTTACACCTCTTTCACACTTTTGAGTGCTTGGTGACATACCTTGAGCGCGTCCAGCTCTTGATCCTTGTCCATATCAAGTGCCACTGGGGAGTCAACCTGCATCTCACGCTCTTGCGGGGCTATCCGCCTCATGCGACACCACTGACGCCATCGTACGCACGTCAGGGTATGTGTGGTGACAGGTTCCTTCAATCGATAGCAATCGACAGTTGTGCACAACTTAGTTGCCACACAGAAGTGGACAGCGTTGACCCTTACGGGTGTACCACTATCGATTCCCAGCTAGTGAAGGGATCTGACCCCACACTGTCTCAACAAGCTAGGCTCTCCTTGGGAAGCCCCTACTTGCTAGCAGTGAGTAGAACAACGACCACTCGAGGAAAACCCAAAACCAAAACCCAAAACCCAAAACCGGCGCAAAAAACGAGATATGCGCGGCCAACAAAAACACTAAGCACAGTAAGTGTTTATTGGCAAATATACACAAAAAACACAAAATTACGAACAGTGACAGACGATACACAAAGAAAACAATCGATGTCGCAACGGCGTACAAGCGAGAACAAAAAAAATAAAAAGGACGTGCGGGGCGCGGAGGACCCCTTTTTGGTGAATCCGTCACTTAACTGCTCGTATCTGGTGAGGAGAAGAGCCCGGCATTAGCCGGGTAAATCCGACTAGTTTAGAAAAACCCCACGTACCCCGCCCTTGGGACACCTACGATCGGAAGACAGCCACGTTTGAGTTACTCACATTTGAATTACTTCTTCGCGCGCAGTGTTTGCTTTCGGAACTCAACGGCATGCATTGTTTCATCGACAGACTGAATGACCTACAGCGTTGCTGGCCACGTGTTGACAACAGTGGACCAACGGATACCAGTCACGCGGCCCTAAGCGCAATCTGTTCTGTTTCCAACACGTAGCCAACAACGTCATCGGTCGGTCAACCGATCGAAGGAAAATGCATGAAAATTATTCCACCCAATCCTTTAAACGCAAAATTGAGGGAATCGGTGCAGCAGCGATCTGGCAAGTTTCTAGTCGACAATCTTCCACGTTCACCACCTAGCTATTTCATTTTCTAATTCCTCAGTTTCTATCGGCGAGTGAATTCAACACGCATGACTCTGATTCTACTCCGCTACTTTTGCAAGCAGGTCATTTGAAGTAGTGGCGAAGTATCTTGTTGTTCCTCATAGGTCTCATCCTTGCTGTCTTGATTATGCAGCGACACGATCATAGTGACGTTCAGTATGTAGGAAGGCTTTTTTCATTTAAATTATAAAAAATTAGTTTTTTTCAAAATTTTTCGTTCGTTTCCAAACTTACTCTTCCAATTATGTTTTTCTCTTCAGAAATTCTGTTTGTTTCCCTTGTATACAGGGTGTCCCAAAATTATTGGCGCCAAAGTTCAGAAATTTCTAAGGTAGAAATAATTCATCAAATTCACATTCCCAGTTATTAATCATTTGCATAAGAAGGTTTCCTTGCAATATGCATGGTTACTGATGTAAAACTCCTGATGTCTTTCAGATGGAGGAGGCTCATTCAATGCCTTTCGCAATCAATGACGCGCGAGAGGTGGAAGGGCAATATGAAATTCTTTGGAATTTTTATAATGACCGTATAGGAGCTATTGAACCATATAAAAAAGAAGATTGAATTAGAGACAAAGCAGGAAAGGTAGAAAGGTAGAACGTTTCTGAAGAGAGGACTATTAAAATGGTTCGTCTGCCATCTATCGGGATTCTGGGTGACGCATCAAAAGGAAGTCAATGTGCTTGACTTATAGGAGTTATCGCGATGGCAGAATATCATGCAGAAGCTTCACTGCCATTCCTATCGTATGCAGAAATTTCGCTTCCATTCGATCTCAACAGACACTGCAGGGCCAAAAATGCAGAGAGTCGCAGACCCTTCTGAGTGATGACACGCAACCCTTCGCCGTTTTCTCTGACCAAAAAATTTTTGACGATAAAACCATCCCTCAACAAACCAAACGTCCGCGTTTCGGGAAGAAACATCTAGCGTACAATACTGGCAAGGGCAAGCCGCTCATGGTTTCTTCGGTGCAGGCGTGAAAATTGACCAAGACCAGTACGCAAACAACCTACTGATGGGGATAATGAAGCACTGCTCCGACTACGTTTTGTGAAACATCTCGTAGTCCTTCCAGCAGGACGCTTCTCCAGCCCACAGAGCCAAGCTTGCCCTGGAGTGGTGCCGATGACAGCTGCCCGACTCCATTGGTGAAGAGGAATGGTCATCCTAACTTCCAGAACATGACTCACTTGACTCCCAAAAATGGTCCCTGATTAGAAGAGGACCTGTCGTGTTGGCAATCTCAGTTTGGAGTCCTAGAATGCAATGGCTGAAGAACGGCTAGGAAGAATTGGAGAAGGATACCTGCGTGCCACATGCGATCAAATCGAGAGCAATCTCTGACTTCTATCCGCGCTCATGGGGGATATTTTGAAATGCGACTGTAGTATGTTGTAGCACATAATGTTAGCAAGCGTGAATTGAAATTCCATGGTCTTTCGCAACTGAGAATTTTCGAATATATTGCTATAAATCGGCGCCCATAATTCTGGGATACCCTGTACGTACGTGTATATATATATTTTTTCAACGCATTCACAATACTCGCCGTAAGAACACGAAAATTGGTGCGAAACCGCAAACTCGCGTCTTTTTCGTCTCTTCTTCATGAATCGGTTCAGAAATATCCAGGACGAGTTCTATTAAAGACACGGTTCACGATTAAAGAGGTTAGTGAGATGTTCCTTTAGGAATACTCAGCGCCCCCCATGGGTGGTAGAAGGGACCCTCTCGCTCCCGCAATCTCGACGCTTAGGGCATAGTGAAAGCTCTGTTGCTGCCGTAATTGGCTTTTACGCCCCTCGATCGATGTCATGTTAGACGAGTGTCGAGATAATACAGATTGCAACTATTTGTTCTATGACCCACACAAAATCAGCTGATCGCCGAGTGATGAGGCGATGTTTCTCTCCCAATTTTATCCTCTGTTATTCTTTTTGCTGCCGCGATCCGAGGAGTGAATACAATACTTGCCGTAAGAACTAGAAAATTGGTGCGAATATCGCAGTCACGCGTCCTTTCCGTCTATTCTTCATAGATCACTTTAGAAAGTGAACCCCTAATAGAGCTCGAGGGGCTGAATTCAACGGTATCCTTGGCTCCCGGGATACATCTTTCTGAACCGATTTGTGAAGAAAAGACGAGAGACGAGTGATTGCGATACTCGCACCAATTTTCTAGTTCTTACGGCGAGTATTGTATTAACTCCGCAGTGACGTGCTCTGATGTGCATTACAATACCCGCGTACGGGAGAGTGTTTCAAGCTGGAAGGTCGCCCAATGGCCAACTCGCGATCCGGGTTGATATGCCGCGCATTACTTGCGCGGCGTAGCCTTACCTCGAAAAAAAATTAAAGCGCATTTCCGCATCTCCAGTCTTCGTAGTGGTTTGTTCACAAAAAGATCTCGTCGTAGTATGTGCTCCCAAGTAATCAACGCGTATCTAGAGCTGTATACAATTGGAGGCAGGGTGGATATTGAAGTTCAATTCTTCCTTGTTAAGTGCTAGTGGTAGAATGTTTCGATACTACTCGGAACGATAATAGTGATACATCCCCAAAACAAAATGTTCAAGCAATACGTCATATAACCTTTGGGGGACGGTCAAGTCGTGCGTCCGAGGGTGTGCGCGGCAAATTGCGCGGCGAAACCCACACCTATTCTGACGACTTTAGCGCCTATTATTTGGGCCCAATTTCAAAGTACAGTAGATCAGTAGGGTCAGCTAACCTTACTAATTCACCTTACTTCAAATTTGAGCCCCAGTGATAGGCGCCGGAGTCGTCCAAATTCGCCACGAACTTCGCCGCGCAATTTGTCGCGCGCACCCTCGGACGCACGACTTGACACACTCCCGTAACTTTGCATGGATGGGAGCGCTTCGGTTCTGTCGTTATTCGCCCGCCGCGCAAGAAGCACGCTGCGCGTAACACCCTCATCTAGAAATTGCATTGCAGTGCTATGCAATGCAGGGCTTCAGTTCAGAGTTCTTGTTTGAGAAAGGACTGAGCATTCCAGGAAATTATGTATTTACATACAGAACGAGTAAATTTGCCAATGAAAATGTTTGTGTAGATAATCAAAAGAAGCTCTTTATGTCTCCAATCTCAATGTTAAAAAATCCATTCTCTCCTTAAAAACCCTCTGGGGTCGTGTCTCTGTATGTTCCTGACAGAAGCTTCAGAGCTCGGGAGGGAGATCATGTCAGCCAACTTACTACTTAAGATAACGAGGCCGCTTGAGATTTGCTCTCAGAAGAGGTGAGGAGGAAGTAAAATGAAACGAGTGAGAGTTATTTCTTGTAGAATTAGAAGAATCAGAAAATGAGGCACTCAAAAGACGGAATGAGGAAGATTTCCTTCTAGAGACGTGCAGAATCGCTGCAGCTCCGATTTTGTAATCAAATGACCGCGCCCGGGGAAATAGTTCAACAGCAAAACTTTCAAACGTTTCAAACACTACCATCCCGATCGCAGCGTGCTGCGCCGCGTGACTTGTGCGGCATGACCTAGTTTCATCGAGGACGTTCTTTCTAGGGTATAGATCGGAAATGCTGGAATGGTTCAACGAAATCGAGCGATTATTACCACAACCATATCCATTTTCTTTACTTTTCGAACTGCGGCTGTAATCCTAGGGCTATGACACGGAAATCGGTGAGTTTGGTGCTCAACTTTCTGGTGGTCAAAAGCAGCGAATCGCGATTGCCAGAGCGATTGTACGTCGGCCTGTTGTACTTCTTTTGGATGAAGCGACTGCAGCTTTGGATAGTGCTAGTGAAAAGGTGAGACCACCCAGATCTGTTCACCGTAATGGCAGTTTTTTGAGTAAGATGTTAGAGAAGTATTTGAATTATCAACGCGCATGTGGACCATGAATTTTCAGGCTGTTCAGCTGGCTCTCGAAAAAGCTCAAAAGTCATGCACTTGCTTACAAAGTGAGTTTATTAACATTTTATTGTCTTGATTACGGCTGATTCTCAAAATGGGTGTCGAAAGCGGAAATGTTGATTTCTGTGAAATACAAGATCTCCAATAAAACTTGTTAATAATTGCTACGGATCTTGTGTTGCGTATTATCTACACATCTGCTTTTTTTCCTCAGTGAGAATGGATGGTTGATAATCGTGTGTGGTAGAAGGCGTGATGCAAGCCTACTCTTAACAGAGGGAGTCCGGGCAGTGGAGCTAAGCGCTCGGGGCTGAACGTTCTTGTTTACGGCTCAAATATGGGCTTGGGGATCAGTACTTTTTGGCGTGTGTCAAGGAACCTGGGGAGAATTTTTTCCATCGAAGAGGCTGGTTTTTCACGACACGCTATCGTGACATACGGACCCGACCTTTGGATTCTTACGACATCCTATTGTTTAAATGGAATACGCATTCGGTCCAGTGTATCAAGGAAAAGATAGGTATACTATATTTCCATGAACAGTAAACTCTTCTAAACTAGTTCAATCGCTTTCCCTTTGAACCAGCACCTTTGTTTTCGCCTTTCTGATAAAAACTTGAAGAGCTTGAACAATTTAAGGTAGCTGCTCTTCGTTATTCACATGTTTCAGTAGCACATCGATTGTCTTCAATAAGAGGTGTGGACAAAATCTGTGTACTCGTCGATGGCGCCATAGTTGAAGAGGGTACCCACGATGCACTGATCGCTAAACGTGGCCTGTACTACAACATGACACAATCCGCGTAATCAACGAACAGCCTCAACGTCGATACCTTCTATTCTTTTCCGACTAAGCGTTCTGTTCACTTCGACTTTGTAACCCTATTATGCCTGTTATGCCGATATCTAAATATGCTCTTGCCATCTCAACATTATTACTTTCAAAAATATTATGTTCACAATGCTCGTCGTAAGAACTCGGAAATTCGCGCTAATACCGCAAACTCGCGTCTTTTTTGTCTTTTCTTCATGAATCGGTTCAGAGTGAAATATCCCAGGAGTCAAAGATGCCGCTGAACTAAGCTCGTTGACTCCATTAACTAATACCCTAAGTATTGAAAATGCTTCGTTCTAGATTTCGCCACGCACTTGAGTTCCATCTGAAAAGTAATTGCATGTACATGGGGTGCATGCTTTAGTGTTTGCAGGGGCTGGTTGGTCACTAAGGATGAGGTGCCCGGAATTCGCTTTCGGGTGCGCCACGACTTTACTCAGTGCAATGTGAAAATAATTAATCGATTTTGTTCCGTCTCCATCGTTCATTTCTAATGTGGAGGCTGTAGATAACTGCATCTACAGTCTGTGCACTTACCACTCTTCCTTGCAGGTTCCATAGTGAATATGACACCGTTTTACGACATAATAACTGAGTTGATTTTTTTGCAGTTTTCCAAGCTTTGGAGGGAGAGATCTAAGGAGATGGCGGGGAGGCACTTACTATCGTAGACAACTCTTTGTTGCCTGCAAAACTGTTATGGTACGCCCTATCATAGTTCAGAATTCCACCCTTGATGTGCCCCCAAACATCGAATGTAGTCACGCCTAAATCATGCAATCGTCTTTTCCCTTCCTTTTTTTTCTTTTTTTTTCCTGGCCTTTTTGCAACTAAGTTGTACACTGTTAGGTTCCACGTGAGAAATGCCATAGAGTAATATAGGCTTGACCCGTCATGAAATGCTCCCCTCACAACCATTTTCTGCTAAATGCCTGCCGCTGAGCGGGTTTCTTCCTGAGCGTGTTTGGCTACGCATATGGACGGGTAGGGAGACGGGCAGTAGGAACGGTTCTGTGTGATCGATCACGCGGCTGTCGCGAACCATTTGTCTCGTTATTACAGCTCTGGCGTTCTTCATACAGCTCAATCGCAATGCGACTATTACTTTTCGCATGATTTTACTTGATTCTACTATTACTTCTTTTGTTACTGTGTTCCTTACTTGCTGATGCATTCTACTACATTCCTTCGCGCGTGGGGTCCCTCTCGCCGCGACGCGACAGTCTCGACTGCACCACACCCGGCCGAGTACTGTAGTGACACGGTATTTAGGTGGTGGCTTTGAAGCACTTTGCTTCGCGTGTGGTGGGTTCCGTAATGGCGAGAACTGAAGACGGTTTTGAACAACGACTACTTGAATGGGGAGCTGGATTCGCAGGTAGATGGGTACTGTAGTGGCGAGAGTTTGAGGAATGATAATTACTCGAATGGGGGATTAGATCCGCGGGTGAAGGGGTCCTGAAAAATCAACTGAAAAAAAAAACACAATATTATGCTTTCGTCGTGACGACGTTCGATGTTTGGGGCTAAGGAAGAAATTCTGATCTATGGTATGGAGTACCATCACAGTTTTGCAGGCAACTAAGCGTTGTCTACGATAGTAGAGTGCCTCAACGCTGCCTCCATAGATCTCGGAGAGAAGTCCATCCAAGGTTTGGAAAATGTCAAAAAATTAATTCAGTTGTTTTGCCGTAAAACAGTGTCATATTTTCTATGGGACCTGTAACGAGGAGCGTTAAGTGCAGAGGCTGTAGATGCAATTATCAGCAGCCTCCACATCAGAAAAGAACGATGAAGACTGAACAAAACCGATCAATCATTTACACACTGAGTAAAGTCGAGTATGTGGCGCATCCCAAAGCGAAATCTGGCTACTTCATCCCTCGCAATCAATCAGCCAGTACAAGCGCTGAAGCATGCACCTCATGTACATGCAATTACTTTCCAGATGAAACGCAAGTGCTTGGCGCAGTTCAAAACAGAGCATTTCGAATACTTAGGGTATTAGTTAGTGGAGTCACCGAGCATAGTTCAACGGTATCTTTGACTCCTAGAATATTCTACTCTGAACCGATTTATGAAGAAAAGGCTAAAAAGACGCGAGTTTGTGGTATTTTGCGCGAATTTTCGAATTCTGACGGCGAGTAGTCATAAATCACAGTGGATAGTATTTTCTACGATAGATCGTAGCTGCATGCCTGCTGAAACGTGGTTCTAGCAGGTTCTAGATGACTGTTCTGACAGTTCTCGCCTTCAGGTGCCTATCGACAGTTCACAGTAGCTCGTCCATTTCACTATATAACACCGAATCACATGCCTATCCATTGGAGGCTCAATAGTTGTAGATAACGGGCGCTCTCTTTGAATGGTAGGCGCGAATGTGTGACGGATTTTATCGCATCTGCAGGCATGTCGGCCGCTCAGGTATGGGTCATTGCGTCATCACGGTTGCATCGTCAAAAATAGCTTCGCTCACGACGGCCTCATCTAGTCGTATTTTGAATGCCAGGACCTCCATATCTGACCTTTACAAGATATAGAATATTAACACATCATGCTAAGTCTCCGTGCTCCCAACTGCTTTGTTTCCCACCGAGTGGTCGGGATGCATTTTGAGCAGTGCTCTCAATTCTCAACTAGTTCACCTTCTACGAGAGGGTTACTGGAAACTCACCCACTGGACACTCCTTATTAAGGCTGAGGGTTCATGATGTTTTCACCATAAAGTAGTAGCAGCTAGATGTGTCAGGAACTTTCGGTGAACACCATTCAACGTTTTGGTTTCGGAGTTTTCCTTTTTCGAACTGCATTCGCGGCACCCACTGTGGGAAATTTCGTAGGCGACTAGAGTGTGCACACCGTATGTCAGTGTTGAATGATTGTGACGCGGTCTCAGTGGGCGATTACGATAACTACTGCTTAAGTCGCGGAACCACTCCGGCGAATAAATACATACCAAACCTCTCTCAGAGACACAAAAAGCGGTCTTCAGCGACGTCACCGTTGATTGCTTTCCTCGAAGTTCTTCGGTTTTAAATCGTTCATTTGCTGTTTGATATAATTTTTAGGATTGTTTCTTTCGGCTCGAATGAATTATGCATGCAGAACTTCGAATAAATAGAAACCTTCACGTTTTGCATGTTTATGAGATTCATGTAGATAAACATTACACTTGCTTGACTATCACGTTTAAGACACGAAACTCTAATTTCAAAGCAAGAAGAGCTTTGAAGAATGAAGAGAGGAAAAGGACGAATAGTTTCAGCTTTGCCACACCGTTAATAACGAGAAATATTTGTATCAAAGAAGGAAACCTGAACCGAAGGAGTTACCTCAGCACAGCAGTATCAGTCCCGCCACAACGGTGGCGTCCCTAATTTTGGTTATTTGACAGAGCTCAAGGCTCCGATTTCTCTCTGCGCCGCGTGTATCAAACGATTCCGAGCACCGTATTTTCCACGTCACGTTAGATGACGTTGAATGCAAGCTTATCCGAGTAGAGCCCAAGTCCACTAGGATTTAGTCTATAAGAGCCCAAGTCTTCGGGGTACATGTCAAAACATGAGGGACATCAGTGTCGGACGTGTAGCCGCATACTCTTTGCCTTCTTCACTATTCCCTGATGTTCTCAAAAACTCCCCACGCCGTTTCCTTCTGCCCAGCTGAGAAGATACGTTCTTCTTCATGTCCACTTCTTGAGCTTGATTCAGCGCTAAAAAACATTATGTACCGGTCTGTTACGAATGAACATCGTCTCCATTGGGATACGTCAAGAGCCGGTCTTTCCACAAAAGTCGAATCAGGCCAGTATTTGCCCGCTTGATGTTAGCTGTTACAAGCACGATGTCGCCTGCAAACCGGATGTGATGTAAGTAATAGTCGTCGACCTCCACCCCCATGTCTTCCCACTCCAAATTATGCATAATGTTTCTGAGAATAGCTGAATAGCTCGGGCGAGGTGGTGCTCTACCGAACCCCCCTCTTGACACTGATATTGACTTCCTCGCAGAATGGTGAGACCGTAGACGTAGAGTATGAGTGGTTCAGCAATGATTCCCCCGACGAAATTTTCCTCGAACGCACAAAGGATTAGAAGTGATCCCATTTGTTAATGGTCTCGGTGCTTCAATCCCTTAACTTCGTAGCTCTTTCTCCACACAATGAAGAACAGAATCTAATGCGCAAGAGGCAACTAACCGAACCCGTTCAGAGCTTTGGAACAACAACGAGGTCAGTCACGCAAAACCTTCGATTGAAGATGATGTGGTCTACATATTAGGTTGGCAAATAAGTCCTGCGACAAAAAATTTGAAGCGTTGAAAATTTGTATCAACAGTGTCAACACGGTAGCAAGGGTGATGGACTTGTAGGGACATTCCTCAGGCAATCAACACATGAGTAAATAAGGGCACGCCTGTGAGCTTTCGCAGCATTACGGTCAATAAATGGACAACACCCGATTTGTAAAATCACCTTCTCCTAAGCACGCCAAGGAAAAAACGTGAGTGTAGCGGCTCGAAATATCAGCAATCTATTCAATGCTAGCACTGCTAGCCGATCGACGGTCAACAATCAGTTTGCTCGATTCACTGCAGGAGATACTAGCCTTCGGAGTAACGCACGCATCATCCCTTATTTTAATGGAGGTTGAAGGAATCCATCCACTATGAGTTGCTCAAAGCGGACTATATGGTCACTGCTATCGCTTGCCCCTATGATACCCTTTATTTGACCAACGGGGTTAGAGGACGATCAAGCCGTAAATCGGGTCTTTGCAGAGGGACATCGTACGTCTAAAATTCGCTTCAGACCCACGTNATGAGTAAATAAGGGCACGCCTGTGAGCTTTCGCAGCATTACGGTCAATAAATGGACAACACCCGATTTGTAAAATCACCTTCTCCTAAGCACGCCAAGGAAAAAACGTGAGTGTAGCGGCTCGAAATATCAGCAATCTATTCAATGCTAGCACTGCTAGCCGATCGACGGTCAACAATCAGTTTGCTCGATTCACTGCAGGAGATACTAGCCTTCGGAGTAACGCACGCATCATCCCTTATTTTAATGGAGGTTGAAGGAATCCATCCACTATGAGTTGCTCAAAGCGGACTATATGGTCACTGCTATCGCTTGCCCCTATGATCCCCTTTATTTGACCAACGGGGTTAGAGGACGATCAAGCCGTAAATCGGGTCTTTGCAGAGGGACATCGTACGTCTAAAATTCGCTTCAGACCCACGTCAAAAGTTCACCGATCCCGCTTTGTTCCAGGTTACTCATCAGTCGTGCTCGCAGAGTGTTCCCCCTTTTAACTACAATGTGCTCCGCCTTTTTGAGCATCCCGTTGTGGAAAAGAAATGCGTAACTTAATGTGATCCAAAAGCGGCAGTCAATTACTTCTTCGAGTCACAGCTCCCTCATTCCTGAAGAGTCGCACGTTCGAAGAAATAGTTCTCCTGCACTCTCAAAAGCGGTATGTAGCGGGCAGTGACTTCTCGTCTCGGTCAGTCCGATGACGTCGCACTTGGTCTTCACAGCTTGCATCATTAAACCTTCCATACATGCTTTCGTTGCAAGCGTCCATGCGTCTGAAGTACAAATCGCCATTTCGGTACTTTCCTTCTCAGGCAGTCTGGAATGACCCTGAGATATTAGCAGCCGCATTCCATTAATATTACTGCTTTTGGCAGGTGTGTACTCGCAAATAGCTTGATAGGCCGTGACGTGGAGACTAGGGCTTGGGCTTTGGGATAGCCTCCAGGTAGCTAGCCAATCTGTCTCCAAGTGGACTATAAGCTGATTCATTAGAGGCGGACCCGAATCGTCTCCCGGACTACTTCCCGCTTTATCAAATGCGAATTTTTGGATTGGCCGATGTACAGGACGACAACCGAACCCGCACGCTCTCCACACACACAGGCATAACTACGCCTGCGAGGAGGCAGAAGGTATAAATCGACCTAACACAGCAGAAACAGGGAGAACATTCCCTCGTCACCAGCCGGCTCGAGATTCTTCAGGGCAATACCATGAGAGAAAACCCAAAACGAGAGAGTGTATGAGAAAATTACAAAAATTACCACTCTTAGACATCTTGCTCCGCGCTCACCTTTTCAACGATACGGTCCTTCCTGCTTTTACGTACAGTAGCGCTCAAAAGTCTTCAGCCGAACGACCAGATGCTTTTTCGGCCGTGACGTTTTTCTTAGTGAAGCGAAGGCTGCTTTCATAGTCCGCCCGGCGTGCGAGCCGAGGCAGTGCTAGGGGGGAGGAGGGAGGCAGACAGTCGGCCAGCCCTCTTCGAACGGCTGTAAACACCGAGAGACAAGATCAAAGACCAAACAACCAAGGGCAAGAACAAATGGTTTTTCTTCCTCCTCCCTCCTAGCACTGCCTCTGCTCGCACTCCGGCCGGCCGGCCGGCAGACTATGAAAGCAGCCAAATCGCGCGAAATTTCGATGTGTTCAACTAAAGCATATATCACTCTATCCAGCACTATACGACTGCAAAGCATCTATATTCGTATCAAGAGCAATACTTGTTGTGGTAGTAGACTTCGCCAAAAGCAAGGTGGGCCACATCTGCAATTATTCGCATCTTATAAGCGTTTTTCTTCTTCACTGTGGTCGGCATTAGTGCTCGTACACTTTAGACATAGCAATTAGGAAAGGAATCCCAAAAGGGCCATCATCTGTATTTCCAGCTGATTTTGAGTACAAGCCTGTGGTATATTTTGAACATGATCAGATTGTTGGCTAATAATGGTGAATATTCACAATCACCAGGACCAGGTCAGCTGGGCTTGGTCTTCATTTGCATCCTTGTGGGAAGACCACCTTTTATAAGGCCTCAGTTCCCGCGTAACTGTGAGGCTACAGATATTGAAATTTCGCATGATTAGATCAAGTGGGAAAGGAGTTACTACTGCAAATATAACTGTGCTAGTACTGCAGCAGCCAGTCTGTCTCACAAACCATTGATCACTCTTCTTCCGAGAACGGTACATAATTGCTTCCACTGTTGTGATGAAGCAGAAACTGGCGCCTCAAGCAAGATAACATCCTCAACTATACCTGGAAGATATGAGAAAGTTCCGATTTTTTATACATATCACTTAAATGAGTCACCTGCCGAATCCGATCGCTTGCCTCTTGCAAGCGAACGGTGGTAGATGACTCTGGCTTCAAGCGAAAGTGCAGTCAGCGATATGGGCCGCTTGCCGTGTGACCGGCCAAGAGGAAACTCCGCCAGATGTTCCCCGACCTGAACGTCCGACAAAGTTTGAAAAACCGACATGAATGAATGGAAGCGAACATTTGGCCACAAAAACTTACACGGATCATCGAGAACTGAAGCGTCTGAAACAGTTGCGACTGGTCATGCTACCGCAGCCACTAGACCTGGACCAGACAGCTTTTGTGCCTGTCTGGTTCAGGTCACCAGATTGGGTCACCTGCTGAAACCGTTCGGCGAAGAGGGAGCATTTTTTAGGCTTTTCTTAATTCGTATTTTTATTCATATGATTATCATAATTGTGATGATCAAATGGTTTGATTTTTTGATCGTCCACTACAGAGCCATCGTATATCAGACCTTTATTTCCCATTCGTCACGGTTCCTCCTGCTGAATATGGTCGGTTAGTGAATATGCACCGGGCTGGCTGAACACCAATACATATATGTATAACTTCCACGTACGGCTTTCTATGAACCTCGGCATAATTGTTCTGCTACTGAGTTGTTTTCTTTAACTCTTCACGAGGTTTGTATACAAGCTTTATTAGGCTGAC